ATCTTTGTAAGCGCATAAGACAGTGCAAATTATTTCTGTGACAGTCTTTTGAAGTGTGTAAAGCTGCATTTTATCCCATACATAGTCAAAATATTGGGGGGATGATACAATGGACCATCCCCCCCTTGTCAAATATTGGGGGGGATATATCCCCTCCATCCCCCCGGGATCTACGCCTATGTTCAACACGTTGTTCTGTCGTAAACGCCCCGGCTGCGATTTTTTTTCCGTACGAAACATTTACATGAAACTCCACTCGGGCCGTCTCGACTGAATCGACCCGAAAATCTCATTGCAGAATTCAGGTCAAAAGGTCATCAACAGATAAACGTCTACAGAACAACTGAGAGAACGTCGCTGTCTAATTTTTAAAAATACATTGATGTTACCATGTTAATACCAATGGGTCGTTTAAAATGACATATAATATTTGATTAAGCTGCACGAGTAATGAAAAGTGTTATTTTAACTTGAGTTACATACTATGACAATTTTAATTTTTTAGTTAGGCCTGGGTTTTGCATAATTATATATAAAAATGAGCTAGTTATTAATATTAGGCATAGTAATCGGCAGGTTCTTGATTACAAGGCTAGACCAAGTTAATTATTATTACCTGTACGTTAAGGGGAACTTAGACAATGGAGGAATTATAGAGAACAATTTAAAAAACGACGTTAAGGGGAAATAACACAAAAGATATTCCCCTTGGGCTATTTATTATAAGGCCTACTAAATAGTATCTGTGGGTTCTTCATTACAAGCCTTGGGACAAGGTAATTAATGCTGAAATTATTATTATTTATTATTATTATTATTGTTAATTATTATTACCTGTACCTCAAGGGGAACTTAGACAACGGAGGAATTGAGAACAATTAAAAAAACGACGTTAAGGGGAAATAACACAAAAGATATTCCCCTTGGGCGATTATTATTTATAGGCCTATACAGTAGTACGGTATCTGTAGGTTCTTCATTACAAGGCTTAGGCCAAGGTAATTAATGCTGAAATGATTATTATTATTATTATTTAACATTAATTACATTACAATGATAGTTTGGACAAGTTCAATAACGCCGGAATGTATATTATTTATATAATAATATTTCTCTTATGCGCTCTATTTTTCATTTCATGCTTCAATTTTGTTTTTTTCCCCAAAAAAATTTCAGTCAATGTCAGTATGTTGGTGTCAGCCTATGACCCTAGGCCTAGTTTAAGGAGGGGCCTAGGTAAGACCTCAACCTGTCAGCGATTTTTTTTTCCGTACGAAACATTTGCATGAAACTTCACTCGGGCCATCTCGGATTGACTCGAGTGAGTACGATACGAGGAACAAGAGCAGACACTTCGCAATGTCGTGACGCTCGAGTTTTACTATTATTGCTCTTTCTATGTTTACCTGCGGTAGGCCTATGAAATTTCACGGAATTATATGATGTACGTCACTGTGTAACTAACTGTGACCTTCTTAGACGTTATTAAATGTTAGTATATTATCTAAAACAACAACAGCTAGTACCTCCTGTTATAAAGTGTAGATAGGTACAGATATACCAAAGGTTAGAGAGAAAGAGGATTTCTATAGGCCTAACTACAGGCTGAGGTCTTACCTAGGCCCCCTCCTTAAACTAGGCCTAGGGTCATAGGCTGACACAACAGTCACGCTTCACATACTGACATGGACTGAAATTTTGGGGGGAAAAATGGGACAAAATTGAAGCATGAAATGAAAAATAGAGCACATAAGAGAAATATTATTAAATAAATAATATACCATTCCGGCGTTATTGAACTTGTCCAAACTATCATTGTAATGTAATTAATGTTAAATAATAATAATAATAATAATAATAATAATAATAATAATAATAATAATAATAATAATAATAATAATAATAATTTCAGCATTATTTACCTTTGGCCTAAGCCTTATAATGAAGAACCTACAGATACTGTACTATTTACTAGGACTATAAATAATAATCGCCCAAGGAGAATATCTTGTGTTATTTCCCCTTAACGTCGTTTTTTTAATTGTTCTCTGATTCCTCCATTGTCTAAGTTCCCCTTAAGGTACAGGTAATAATAATAATTAATAATAATAATAATAATAATAATAATAATCATTTCAGCATTAATTACCTTGGCCTAAGGCATGTAATGACGAACCTACAGATACTATTTATTAGGCCTATAAATAATAACCAACTCAAGGGGAATATCTTTTGTGTTATTTCCCCTTAACGTCGTTTTTTTAAATTGTTCTCCAATTCCTCCATTGTCTAAGTCACCTTAACGTAAGGTAATAATAATAATAATAATAATTATTATTATTATTATCATTTCGGCATTACATGTAATTAACTTGGTCTAGCCTTGTAATCCAGAACCTGCCGATTACTACGCCTAATATTAATAACTAGCTCATTTTTACATTCATTTGGTGCTCTGCCATTTTGGCAGGTCTTATGGCATCCAGTATTTTAGAGCTGCCTATTCTCAGCTCTTCTCTTAATTTGAAAATAACTGTCATTCTGTTTCATTTGATCAGTGATGAAGAAAAACGCGCTTTTCCTTACTCTTTGTGCTTTTCCCAGAAAGCTTTTTTAGTTGGCCTACTTGTAGGCTTATGTAATTATGCAAAACCCAGGCCAAACTTAAAAATTAAAATTAACACTTTTCATTACTCGTGCAACTTAATCAAATATTATATGTCATTTTAAACGACCCATTGGTATTAGTAACATCAATGTATTTTTAAAAATTAGACAGCGACGTTCTCTCAGAAGTTATGTAGACGTTTATCTGTTGGTGACCTTTTGACCTCCTGAATTCTGCAATGAGATTTTCGGGTCGATTCAGCCGAGACGGCCCGAGTGGAGTTTCATGTAAATGTTTCGTACGGGAAAAAAAATCGCAACCTGTTAGGCCTCTTTCTCTCTAGCCTTTGGTATTACTGTACCTATCTACACTTTATAACAGGAGGTACTAGCTGTTGTTGTTCAACTGATTTCATAGGCCTACCGTAGTTAAACATAGAAAGAGCAATAATAGTAAAACTCGAGCGTCACGACATTGCGAAGTGTCTGCTCTTGTTCCTCGTATCGTACTCACTCGAGTCAAACCGAGATGGCCCGAGTGAAGTTTCATGCAAATGTTTCGTACGGGGAAAAAAATCGCGTACCGGCTGCTCTGCTGAGAGAGCGTGTAGTGGCAATGCTGCCCTAAAGATACTACATGAATTAATAAGTATATGAGTGAGTGAGTGAATGAATGAATGAATGAGTGAGTGTACGAGTGAATGAATGAGTAAATGAATGAATGAGTGAGTGAGTGAATGAATGAGTGTATGAGTGAATGAATGAATGATGAGTTGTATAGATGAATAAATAAAAAAGATTAATAAAACTAGCAGCAGTAATTATTATCATTATACAGTATGCATAAATAGATACTTCTACTTCTATGCTGCTACTTCTGAAGATAAGCCTGTTATGCAACCAAAAAAAAAAAGTTCTAGCGTTGTGCTCATAACAGCGGACCTTGTTTAATGTGCTTATTAATTAAAAATTCTTTGGTGCTAATAAAAAACGAATACATTTTGGTTTAGTTGGTGCTGATGGCTTCTATTTTGACATGTTTCAAGGTCATAGCTATTGGGTCCTTATATCTTCGCAACCACTGGTGGTAGAGAGTTGATTATGATGTCAATTTGTTTGGAACATTCATGTTTCTATCTGAATAAACCAATATCCATTATTGCAAATTATGTTATCACAATAAACCTTATTCAAAAAAGTGAGTGCTGGTTTTCATTTCGTATCTGCTTATCAATGTTATAATGACAATTAACATCATTCCCAACTATAATGTATCTGTGTGTATGACTTTTTTAACCAATATAACAACATCATAATGAATCACTTCGACTACTCTTGAACAACATCTTTACAAAAGTTGCAAGTTCGAATACCGCCAGAGTACTTTTTTTTTCATACAACTGAATTAAAAAGGTACATATACAGTGTTTAGTAAGGACGTGACATGATGGAACATCGTAGGCTACCCTAGATGTTCCATCTTGTCCTTATTAAACACTGTTTATGTACCTTTGATGATTTATATTACAATGCAATTTTAATGTAACTTGCAATGATAAAATACTTGATCTTGTACTTTTTAATCAAAGATGTGTATAAGAGACAGATATATATATATATATATATGCCATCGTCTCTCAATAGTTAACCAACTTTAAATAACGATGCTCCAGTGAAAAATAATTTGGGCTGTCAATATATTGCAGCAAATTATATAACGCACTAGACATGTGCGTCTTTGAGTAGAACAGTTGTTGGAAAGAACAAAGTTAACAAGGGTAATCCATTTACCTGTTTCCACATGGGAGGCTAGCGTCACAAAGAATAGTACACGCAAAGTATCCATTATAATATGAACCTTTCGATGGGCACACATCATTTCATATAATATGAAACTTCTGGTATATAGCATCGAAATGATCAGCTTTAGTGGTCCGTCATTAACTACAACCACTGATAAATTCCGCTAAAATTAATGAAAGATATAGCAATTAGTTAAAATACAAATATCGTAACAATATATCCACTATTATTACCGTCCATCTATTACTGTATTACTATTCCAGTGGGGTTATTTTTGCGTCAGGAGAAATAATACGAATGATGTTTTTGCTCAATACGTTACGAACAAAATCCACAAGTGATTCGGGTGGGAATCGAACACACGACCTCCAGATACTCATCAATACTATTAGCATTAGCATTAGTATTGTATTATTATTAGTCGTAGCAGTGGCAATGTAATGTAGTTTGATCTATATAGCCAGTGGCGTAACAATTTATGGGGCCCGGGGAAAAACATGTTGGGGTCGTTTGCATAACAGCAGTGGTGTACCTCGGGGGTGCGCGGGGACGCCCCCCACCACCCACAAAAAAATTAAAACAAAATCGCGCCCCGAGTTCAGTCTCCCCTCCCCAAAATCACCTTATTTTACAAACCAGCGCCCCTCGACTAATCATCGAGCTCCCCCACGTAATCTTCGAGCTCTCCACCAGCTCCCCAATTTCAAGATAGATACGCCGCTGTTGTCAACTGTCCCAATAGCTGGCTACGGCTTTGATTTTATACACATATTTTTCGTATGGGCATTTCCTTACCGTACATAGGTTACATGCTTAATCATGAAAGTTCCAATGAAGCTTTGACAATATAAATAAACATTATAAAACAGTTATTCAATCAATCGGATCCAGGGAGTACAGTTAACCCCGCAAAAAATAGAAAAATGAGAGAAGAGAAGAAAATCCAGAAAGAGCACGTTACGTAAGCCTTCTCCAAAACGAAATAAATAAATAAATAAATAAAATAAAAAATAAAATAATAATAATAATAATAATAGTAATGAAATAAGTATCATAATGGTCTAAAGAACAAAGTCTTAACACAACCCCCGCTCAGTGCTTTGCTTGTCGAATTCTTAGTAGGCTTATACACAATCGTGATAGGTAACCATTGCCATGTTTTAGAGCTGGGGCGGATTCTAGGATGTGTAGGGATGTAGCCGGCCAGGGCCCAATACATTATTTAAAAAAAAGTGTCGTATTCGTATAACTGGTCAAATGCAGGTGGTCGTAGTACGAGGGGTTCCATCTAATAAATCTGCCAAAAAGTGTATCTGTGGGATTTTAGTTTTTTAGAAATTACAGAAAAATTATCGTATTGTTGAGAAGTTTATAGTAGAATGCTGGCTAGTAGTGGGGGACCTCCTGGCCTGTCCGGATCCCATTTGAACTTGGATAAGGCCCCGTAAAGCACGTGCGTTACGCCACTGTTGAGGTTCGGTAGTAAATAAGGTCCGGGGCCCCTTTTGTGTGGGGGCCCGGGCCTGCGCCGCCGAGAGCGCATGGGCGTTAGCTCACTGTTATAGCGCTTCGTTTTTCTTTATTTTTTTCTTCAAAAATTGATAAGATCCTTTCTAATTTTGATGATCATTGAATTTAGCCCTACAAAATGTTAATTGTTTTGCATTATTTGACAAAATACAGAGATAGCCGTCGTCGTGTGCGGACGTACAATACAATTGCTCTCTAGCCCTACCGAACAACGTAAGCACGAACATCATTGTGGGACACGGACAGCTTCAACTGTTAACCGTTACCGGTACAACTAAAGCCTTTGAGCCTAGTGGAGTTACCATGGACTCTTAACGGAAGTTTGGCCTTTTAAATATTTTGTTTTATTATAGTGTTCTTTGTTATTACTATACTGTCGACATGAATTTATTTTTGCTTTTAATTCTGTGTATGACGGCATCGAACAATGGTTGCATGGTATGTTCAACATTTTTTATTCAGCAAGATAGCACTTCTCGGCATAAACCGAAATATTCTGGTAATAGTGTAAATTATTACTCTGGTTATACACATTCTGCTAGTTTTAGACCCGAATTAACTGTATACGGCGATGTGGAAAAGAATCCCGGACCACAGCGCGGTAAGACAAAAGAAAGGAATGCGGAAAATGCTGACACCAGGTGTGCTGAAACACGTTTCTATTATCAGAACTGTCGCAGCCTTAAAAATAAACTGGATGTGTACAGCACAGAACTGGTTAGTCATTTAATTGCAAATCGTTACCAATTCGTTGCATTCACAGAAACATGGCTTAATTCTAATGTTTTAGACGCTGAACTTGAAATAGAGAATTACACACTATACAGGAAGGACCGAATAGGCAAAAGAGGTGGTGGTATCGCGTTGCTTGCCTCAAACAGGTATGTAACTCGCAGACTTACTGATTTGGAAAATAAAAATATCGAACTAATGTGGGTGGAAGTAAATTTCTCTAATACGAAAAGACTCTTGATTGGTACGTAT